ATCTCTGCGTCAGTGTAGATGGTTCAATATTCGTGCCAGTTTCTGGTAGGATTTTTCGATTTGTCTCCATATTTTCGGTGTATCGGGTCCATACCAATCCTTCAGTATCTGTCAATATTTCTGAGATGAGGTATTATGTATGCTATTTACATTATTCGGACTATTGTTCTCATCTTTGTTGCCATATTTATCATGTTTCGGCCATTGTACACTCCGGCCTTCTTCAGGTGGTTGGAATGTCAAAACGAATCCTTTATTTCACTCTCTGGGGTAGAGTGTTCTAGTTCTAGATAACTGATAACTGACATCCATTAGACATGGAACTAGAACAGTTTACCCCAGTGAGTGAAATAAAGGGTTCGGTTTGACATTCCCACCACCTGAAGAAGGCCGAAGCATACAACAACCGAAACGTTGCAATAAATATGGCAACAAAGATGAGGACAATAGTCCGAATAATGTAAATAGTGTACATAATACCTCTTCTCAGAAATATAGACAGACCCACACACACATATATATCTTGATTGCTACATCTTCACAGATGATTGCTGCCCCATGCATCAAAATCTCCTCCCTTGTTCCTTGCCACCCATTTTTGAATGGCTATGAAGGTGACTCTTCAAACCAGCAGCTGACATGCATGACTTGAAACAAAGATGGCATATACACATGCATAAATACATCTTAATATATAGGATGTATGAAAAATACTTTTACAAATTTGGGGATGGGGTTCCTCACTCCAAAACAAGAACAAAAGTCCATATAAACATCTGTCCACAAATCTTTCATTTTTGAGTTATTAAGTTTAAAGAAAGTTTATGATAGATGGCACTATGTTGCCATGTAGACAAGGTTACATTTGTCATTTGTGTACATTTGTGGTTAGCCTGTCTTCAATGTTTAACATGTGTAGTAGTGAGTTAACTGAGAAGTGATCTGCTTAACAATTGCAGAGCATTCATATCAGGCGGATATGATTTTTATAGACAACCACATGAATGGTAATGGACACGAGTCTGCATGGCTGTATCAGGTTACATTTCCAGACTGAAGTCAGCCAAGTCATCCAACTTTTGCTGCTATTTATTGTTGCATTGCAGAGACAGGATCTGTGGCATTATAAGCTATAGATTGAGGAAGATCAAGATCTGCTCATACACCTGAATGCAAAGAACATATTCTACAGGCTAAACTTTAAATTTAACTCAAAAATGAAAGATTTGCAGACAAAAGTTTTTATGGACTTTTGTCGTTTTGGTGTGAAGCACTCCTCTCCTGCAAAATTTATGAAAGTATTTTTGATACACCCTGTGTGTGTGTGTGTGTGTATATATATATATATATATATATATATATATATATATAATAGGTAGTGTATTTCTTGCTTAAATTTTATAAATAATATTTTAAAAGTCTCTAATGACTTTTATGCCTTTTTTTTTTCAAAGACCACATTTTTATTTAAACTTAGTTTTCAAATGTCCATTTTTAATCATTTATTCCATACAGTATAAAGTTTTTTTAGTGGAATGCATCTTTTGAGAAAGAGCAAATTAAATTTAGCCTGACTTAAATTCAGCAAAAATCAAAACACATGGCTGCTTTAATTCATCAACTAGAGGGTTGGCATGAGGTGTGTAACTGAGGTAGTGTTGAGGAAATATATCATTCAGCAGTACTGATCATAAACATACAATAAATTAAACAAAAATTCACAGAGATAGATACATAAACATACTAATGCATATACAAACACACACTCTACCATCAGTGACTTGATAACCAGGCTATAAAACAAAAAGTGAAAATGACGCAATAAACAGTCAAACATATCAAAAACTTTGTCCTTACTCTTTTTTTTTTTTAAATGTCTGGAAAAAAAAATTTAAGATAAATGTTTATTTTTATAGCATTATTACAATTAATATTTAAATACCAATTATTTTTTTTTAAATTTCATGCACAGAGATCTTTTTAAGAAATTTATATATTTGTTAGAGCAAAAGAAGTTATACTATTAGTATATTTTGTTAAAGACTGTAATGAGCACAACAAACATTGATGAACTAGAGTTGCCACTGAGATATATATACAGAAACACATATGTATATATCCTATTGAAAAATAACACAAAAATAAAATAGAAATTAAACAGTGAAAACATAAGGAAAAACAACACCAAAACAACCCCCACCCTCCACTTGAAAATGGCTAAGAAAGTGGTTGAAAGCATTTGAGGCAATGAAAATTATGAAACATTTCTCTACTTCCTAAACTCCTACAAAGTAGAAAAACATAAGGGTGCTGGAAAAACTAAATAAAAAAAAATTAATTAAATTTACTTTGTCTGCTGCAATTAATTAAAGATGTTTAAAAGAAAGGTTCCTGTCTAAATATACATTTATTTGGTATCTTCTATTGGGAACACAAACCCAATGAGTTTGTGCAGAAAAGGGTTGAAATATTTGTGGGACACCAGGAACCTCTTCTTGCCACTGTCAAACAGAGAAAAATGGTGTGATTTAGACACATTAAAAGGCATGACAACCTATGCAAGGCCATTATGCAAGGCACTGCTGATGGTGGACATAGGAGAAGACGTCAACACAAAAACTGATTGGACAATGTCAAACAATGGATAAGTATGACTATACCAGAATTGCTGATGGCTGCCATTGATATACTCTTGTGGAGGAGATTCAATATGGCTTCTGCATTTGGATCCCCCCTACGATTACAAAAGTCAGGGGGGGGATGATGATGATGAAAAGTTTGATTAAAAAGAATGGACAAGGTCTGCGTGTTTTTCCAGTTTTCAATTAAGATCTTGAGCATTGTGTTTGAAATTCATATTTCAAGAACCAAGGACATGTTTTTGTGATAGGCATAATTCTTTTGTATACATTCTGCTATTGTTTAAAAGGGTTCAAATTTGAAATTTTTTAATGTTTGTTGGGAACATGATTTTTAAAAGAAATATATATATATATATATATATAAATGTATAATAAAGTTTTTGTTTTTCATATTAAATTAGTTTATATTGTTGGTTGCCCAACTCTGAAATGCAGAAATTAAATTAAACAAATTTTATCACTCGGTTCCTTTTTATGTTCTCTTAATTTTTTTTTTTCTTAAGCATTTCACCTCAAGTAAGATGAGATTGCCACTATCACGCAAGGGGTTATAGAGAGTGAGATTAAGAGTAAAGAGGGGTGTTTGAGGAAAGGATATAGAGAAGGCTGGGGATTAACATCAAGGCATCAGAAGATGCCAATTGACATTAAATTTGAATATATGAAGATTATAACTATCAGGGAAGCAAGTAAGGGGAAGGGAGTTCCACCATCAGAAAGTGCAAGAGAAGAAGCTGTTGGAGTAGAAGAGGCAGTTACATTTAACTGTTTTGACAGTGAAAGGGTGAGACTGAGATGCCAACCTAGTAGCACATTGAAATTCATGCAGTTGGAATTTCCAGGAAAAGTAGCTTGTCAGAGCAATTGCTATTGAAATATTTGTAGAAAAGACAGAAGGAAGCCACAGCATGTCTGTGAGAAAGTGACTGTAGATGAGATGTCAGATCAGGACCTAAAAAGAAAAATTTACTTTTTGTACACAATTCTTGGTTTATTTTCTATAAAACAAACGAAAAGTGTCACAAAACCATAACTTCCACATGTAGTAAACAGAATCTATTTAAAATGAAAGAATTAAAACATGACATGTAATGTTCGATATTTGTTATTCTTTTATGTGCTTTCACCAATCTTATTTTAAAAACTTAATTTCCAAAATGCCTAATACAATCCTAATGTCCATCAAATTTTACACATAAAAGACAAAATGGTTGCTTTATTAAAGATAAGTAAACACTATTATTATTTACATACATGTCCTCATCTTTGTTGTTATTAACACAATGTTTTAGCAATGTACCCTCTGGATTGACTAACACCTGATGAAGGCTAGAGAACATGACAGCTGAAACATAATAATAAACATTAAAAATGATAGTCCACATGTAAATCATGTGAATACCGATAACTTCTCATCCCAGAAATTCAGACAGAAAGTAAAAAAAAAAATGTTTTCCTGTTTTTGACGGACATTAAAATATCAGCATTACCAAAAAAATATTTTTCACAAGGCGTAAAAATAAGTTTTGAATCCTAAATGTCACACACATTGTAGTGAACCACAGTCATTCCTTTTGTATGCTATTAATGAGAAGTGAGTTACACTTGAACAGCTTCTTCACACAAACCACTGCTTTTAGGAATTGACTCCCAAAAGAATGTAGGAATTTTTCCCAGTTGCGTGTGTGTGTGCTCGGCAATGTATAGAGTAGAATGAACAAACCCAGGGCTTGAAATAACTGTTTAACAGCTTTTATTTGTTGATGAAAGAAAGAATGCAAAATTGTTGTATTTTGCGGGAAATAGCCAATAAGTGACAGTTATTATATTGTTGTTTCCCAAATCATTACAGTTTTAATCTGTTGAAGTCTTGAGTTAACTATTATCTTCCCCACATATTCCCATAAACTGTGCCTCTTAATTGACAGCAATCTACCTTGAGTGGCCCCCGGGCCTCGTACAGGGTGAACATCATTGTAAAAAAAATTAAAATTAGTTTATATGTACATCATGCAAAGTTGGACTTTGTCAAAAATGAATTGTAATTAACTGAAATCAAATTCCTATTGAGTTGCACACCTTAAAAGCATTAAAATGCATTTTCATTCAGAAATATACTTTTCCCTTTTTAGTTTTATTTGAGTGCGTGGGTGAGCGTATTTGGTAAAACTGATGTCATTCAGATTTATATCGGTATTAAATAGTTTTGTATATGTCAATCAAAAGACTTTTTTTTTTCTTTTGCGCTTATCAGAGATCCAAAGAGATTTGTTTTCACTGTTTTGAGTATTGATTTTTTTTTTTTTTTTTTTTCCATGATTTATGACTTTATTTAAAAATGCATTTTATCTTCTTCAGATTGGGCAGTTCTGCTGTGGGTCAGCTGCATCACATTTAACTTGTACATGAATGTTGTACGAGCAATAGAAACAGACAGATTTGAATGGTAAGCCATGTAACATACAGTTTGTAACTCATAAGACTTCAGTATCTGTCTATATTTCTGAGAAAATGTATTATGTACATTATTTACATTATTCGAACCATAGTCCTCATCTTTTTCGCCATATTTATTACAATGTTTCGGCCTTTCAGTATCTGTCTATATTTCTGAGATGAGATATTATGTACATTATTTACATTATTCAAACCATATTCCTCATCTTTTTCGCCATATTTATTACAACGTTTCAGCCTTTCAGTATCTGTCTATGTTTCTGAGATGATGTATTATGTACATTATTTACATTATTCGAACCATTGTCCTCATCTTTTTCGCCATATTTATTATGTTTCGGCTGTTGTACACTCCGGCCTTCTTTAGGTGGTTGGAATGTCGAACTTAACTTAAAAGGGTTAAGTTCAACATTCCTCAAGGACACATGGCACAGTGGATAAAGGCATTGGTTAGATCCAGTGACAGGACACAAACAGTGAATTCAATACCCAGTTAAGGCAGTGGAGAACTTTCACGGGGAAATTAACAAGAGATAACTGATAACTGACATCCATTAAAAACATGGCACATGGAACTAGAACAGTCTATCCCAGTGAGCAAAATAAAGGGTTCAGTTTGACATTCCAACCACCTGAAGAAGGCTGTAGCATACAATGGCCGAGACGTTGTAATAAATATGGTGAATGTGGCGAATAAAGAAAACAGCAACCAGCGAGTAAATTCAAGCTCTCCCAGCTGGTATTTCAACCTTGAGTCGTTCCTTCTTGAGTTCTGTCTCAAAATTGCCAACCGTGAACGTCACTCGAAGAACTCCCCGCACTGGGAAAAAGTAGTTGTTTTTATATTTGTCCATATACCCATAATCCCTTGCATCTTCATGTGATCCCATAATTCATTGCGTCCATGTCCCCTAATGCATTGCATCTTTATTGCATAAAAATGCAATGCCAGTCCCCCCTCATTCTTTTACGTTATCTGGCCGAGGACGGATTACGGCAGAGTGGTAAGTGCTTTTTTCTCCCTCATTTCAACTGCAGTAGCTTTACATGCTAAGCAAATACGGACTCTTTTTTGGCGGGGACAAAGCAAGTCGCGACCAGTTGTGCTCGTACCAGGTTCTGTCTTATGTCCGCCACAGTGACAAAGATGAGGACAATAGTCCAAATAATGTTCATAAGGGTTCTCTACAAAGACAATGAAGTTTTCAGTGGACAGCAAATTTTTTTTTTTTTTTTCCTTTATCAAAACATCTTAGAATGTGTAACTTTTTCTGAGTGGACATATGCTTTCTTTCCCATACGTCATATTTGGTTCCGTAGTGCCCTTGAAGACCAAGAAAGTCTCTTCACTTGACCTCCACATTCGCCTGTGACCTTCATCAGCACACATTTGGGTGGGCATTATGTTTTTGTATACTCTTTTAATTTATCTTTGATATTCCAGAAACATTGAAACATGATTATTTTTGTTTGTTTTGGTTTGGTTTGTTTTACAGCATATCAAACTCAATCGGTTATTTAATGTCGACAAGATTTTTATTGACACTAGTATTTTTTTTTCTTCAAAAATGTACTGCTGGTAATATTTTTCCAAAAATGTATTGCTGGTAATAATCTTTTTCTTTAAAAATTCATTGCTGGTTATAAGTTTTTATAAAAATCTATTGCTGGTATTAAAAGCTATTTTTACACTTTCATAGTGTTTTGAACCCATTTTGGTGGTTAACTATTTGCCCATAGTTGGGACCCTAACATGTACTACTACTCTGGGTCAGGGTAGACCTGGGAACATCAGCAATTAAGAAGTGGTTCCACACCCCTCACAATCTCCTGATCAGAGTCCTTGCTGTCGGACATAGTTTACTGTCTTACTCAGGACGGATTTTATTTTATTTTTTGTATGTTAGAAGAAAAAAATCTGATGCAAATTGCCATATTTGAATGAAAAGTGTCACTGCTGACATCAGGGTTTGAACATGAATCTCTAGACAATGAAAATATAGACTGCCATTTACTAAACATAATATGCCACTGGTGGTTACAATTACACGTTTGACTATTGTATTAACCCGGAAGTTAAATGTTCCATGTTTCCAAGACAAATTAGTACTTTTCTTAGCATCTCTACACAGTCGTGTATTAACTGATAAGTAATCAATAACCTTTCCATTGACTCTTTACTTCTTTGTTGTTAATGTATTTTAATTGTGTTGGTAATTAAATACATTATTTTTTTTACATTTGAAGTCTTTCTGTTGTTACTTGTATTTTATTATGTATCACAGGTTACAAAACAAATGAACTGGTTAGAACAGATCACCTAAAACAAAAAAAAAAAAAGATGGAAATTTTATTTTTTTACAAATTTATCTAAATAATTAAAATTAACTTTTACAAATTTGTTGTCTTGAATTGTTTGAGGAAATTTCTATTCACAACAGAACATTCCACAAAGCCATGAGCAGGTTTGAAAAATTACTGAAAATTAATATTTGTTATAAATTTAAAACTACTATTTCTGTTTTTTTCTTCTTTCTTCTCCTTGCCTTTCTTTCTCTTCCTCGTACTATTCCTTCCACCTTTCCTCCTCCTCCTGCCTTTTTTCCTTATCCTCCTCATATTAGTCCTTCTGCCTTTCTTCCTCCTCCTCCTTATATTACCTCTTCCTCCTCGTGCTACTCCTGCCTTTTTTTCCACCTCCTCCTCGTATTACTCCTCCTACTTTTCTTTCTCCTCCTTGTGCTTATCATAATTCTGTAAACTCATACTGCTATTAATGTTTTTAGTCTAGTATATTTGTGGGAAATGTTTTTATTCAAATACCTTAGAACAGAACTTGACAAAACTTACACTTAAGCAGTATGAAATTTCATATGCATTTAAAGTAGGTACCTCCAAAATGTTTATAAAAAAAGAGCATACCATGATGAAAAAAGGCCCCAAACTTGATAAAAACAGTTTTATCATCAAAATGTTTGTTATTATTAAGTGGAAAGACCAAAGTTTTTTTTTTTATTATTTTATTAAATTTTTTAATCTTTTCAAGCATGTTCAAAAGTTTGGTTACAAATCTTGTTTTTCTTGTGTCACTGACTCGGCCAAAGATTAATATTACGACATTTAATGTCTTTACTTTTTTTTTTTTTTTACATTAAAAAACACATTGTTTTTAAAATTGTTGCAAAAATAAAATAATTTTCAAATTTTAATGAAATTTTCAGGATTTAATCCCAAATTAATGAAATTGTTTTTTTTTCTTTTAGAAAATCTTGGCGATTTTTTTTTTTGGGGGGGGTCCATCTATTATCCCCATTTAATTTTATGAAATTTCAAGAAATTAGAATTTTAGTCTCTTCATATTTATATTAGTTAAAAGGAGGACTCCTTGGAGAAGTTAAATGATCAATTTGTTTTTGCCAAACAGAAACACTGTTTACCAAAACAAATCATAAAATAAAAATGCAATAAAATTATGATATTATTTAGAATTAGAAAAGCTTTTAATTCCTTTTATAAATAAGATATATTAAGGACACTATTGTCTTAATTTTTTTTTTTTCAATGAATTGATGAATAATCAATTTTTACAAGAATTATTTTCATTTTTTTTTAAATTTTAATTAGAAAAATTTATAAAGTTTTAAATCTTTTAAAATTCTGTATTAATTTCAGCAATTTTGATATTATTAAGTAAAAACTATTATTTCTAATCATAAATGGAAAAGCTTAATACAAATCATCAAACATCAATATTTTTTTCTATGTTACAAGTGAACATACACAACATTATCAGAAAATAAGAGCAATTATTACAGTAAATTTAAAGCCAAAATTTCTAAAATTCAGTAAAACATTAGATTACTGTGAATATTTTCCTAAATTTTTAAGATTACTGAATACTTAAAAATGAAATAAAAAAGACTCTCCTGTCATTTTCTTAAATTATGTTTTACAAATAAAGTCTCTTCTAGAATAACATTAGATCTGTTAACAAAGCTACTATCAGTTAAAAACTGTATTTGTACAATGTTTTAAACTTAAATAAACATTTGTTTCTAATCAGATTAATTATACTTTAAATTGGCTAATATTCCTCAAATAAAATTTCAGAAAAGTATATTTTATTTTTGGAAGATTTTTTAATAAAGAGAATTACATTACAATGAAAAATGACTAAAAAACGGATGTTAATCAGCTATTTTAGAAAAAAAAAACTCCTTGCAGTCAATTTAAAACTTTTTTTTATCTGGGTTTCACTAATTTATAATCTAACCAATTGCCTTGGAACCCCACCAAACATAGTGTGGGACTTTATCATCCAGCCGAGTCCTTTTAGGTTAAAGTTCCCTCTTGGATCTAGTTATTTTGAATTCTTTCTATAAATCCATTTTTCAGTGCCCCTGGCTATCTTGTCACAAAATTTTTTTTTTATTCGGTTGATTAAATACTGATTCATGCTTATTTCTGCATAGAATTCATTATCTTGGATTCAGTTGTTGTTTGTAAGCTTGTAAGGGATACACCAGCAGTAAAGAATTGACCAAAGTTCAAACACTGCTAAGATTTCCCTAACATTATGTAAATCATAGTACAGAGAATTGTTACATTAACCTATGAGACAAAGAATTTTAGATTCTCTGAAGTAGCAAATGAATGCCCATGTCTATTATTTTAAAATTGTTTACATAATTTCTTGAAACTGTATGGTTTGGGTAGAGTAGAAAACATCTTAAAATGTTAGACCAATAAGCCTGTATCTGAACTCAATGATACAATTATCAACTCACTTTTTCCATTCATCAATCAAGAGGTGAATCCTCAAAGTTTTCTTGTCCTTAAAATTTGTTGAACTGGATGCAATTCTGGCAAAACAAATTCATAAGAAAATTTTGACTGATTCATTCTACAGCTAGTTTTTGGTGTATAATTTCTAAAGAAAATTTTTTTCTTTTGACAATAGAAGCTGGAGGCTAATAGAAACTAAATTGG